GAGTGCTACACATTCTGTTCAGCCAACATCAATGCGCGGACTAGACCGCGGTGGACAACCTCGATTGTCGGGGTGCGTCATAATTGGAAGTGAGAACACATTTTCTCAAGAAGCAAAACAAAAACTATTTAGGTCCCAATACAAGTAAGCATAATTGACTGAATTGTTATAATGTCCCACCTGCCACAGCGAGTCATTCCGGAAAGATCCAACAGTGAGATTCGCTTGAGTGAACACGGCAGCCTTTCCAGTCGAGGTGGTAATAAGGTCATGACGAACGTAGATCTGTAAAAATAGGAAGAGGTAGAAGACATAGTGCTCACTGTAATCGAGCTGCTTACATTTAGAAAGGCGTATACATATGATAGCCAGATCCTTAGTGATTCTCTAATCATAAAACAATAATCAATTCGCAGTTGCACGTACACACTGCAGAAAGCGTCCGTGGTGGTACAAACATGCCCGGAATACGGCAATCCTTTGTTTATGATAGGAGAAATTTATTTTCAAATTTATTCACTGCGACCACGGTACCCGTTATATTATGCCAGTATTGTACGCGTTTCCAGGCATGTGAACTGCGTTCATGTTCGAGCCAACAAACATCTACATACTCCTGTAACTTGGCTAAAAGGCTGCTTCATGTCTATCCTTCCGTTCGTGTGAAAAACGCAAGTATCAGAGCTGCGCCATCGTCGCGGCTGGAAAGTGCGCGACAACGACGGTAGAACATAACAAACCTAGCTATGGACGAGATACCTCAATCCAATGACACGGCGTAGCGGCTTATTCAATCATATGGTTTTCCCAGTCAATCAGGTCAGTTTCAGGCATCGCGGTATACTTTTTTAAATTTTCAGTCAATTTGGGTTCCACTGTTTTATCATAGGCCGCTGCTACCCCACCATTTCGATCTGGGATTGTTGCTTTAACATGACTGAGTCGCTCTCTAATGTTTGATGAGCGTCACCCTGAGAAACTTCAAAAAAGGACGGTCACCACACGCGCTCGCACTGACAATAGCGGTGAACAATAGCGTGATTAGAAAAAAAGGATGCTATTCTACAGAATAACGCATTAGACAAGGCCAAACTATAATTATACCGACAGCGCATCCTCTTTTGGAAACTGTTGTCAGTATTGCACTCCGGAGCTCGCGTAGCACATAGGTTCATCAGAGACGCAAGTTTCACGAAATCTGCTGTCAGCTATCAACTTTTTCACTCAATCTGCCTTATGAGGGAACCTTCAGTGGATATTGACGAGGAGTCTTGTAATTACGATATGTACTAAATGAGGGACCGTGAAAGGTCTCCGTCAGACAACGAACAAGAATTGGACAGCGATTACTGTAATTTGAGTGTGATATACAAGTGCAGAGGTTCAAAATGGTCCGATAGTGAAGAAAGCCTAAGTACACCGTCAAAACCTGAGAAGTAGGGTTTTCTCGCTCTCCTATTGACTTCGGTGATTTACGGCTTAGATGCTAATTCCAGCGCTAATGACAACGGTGTCAAAAATATCAATACTAACGCTTGGGGTGAGGCGGTTTCTGAGAATGTGGACCGTACTCAGTTTGAAGCGTAAATGCGGCAACTAACGCTCCTCCCGTCGCAAAATGTCATACCTCGGCTCATTCGCTAAGGGACCACTGCTTTCAGTGGTGCATAAACTTCCCTAGCTCATACCCACTTTCTCGCATTAAATGCCCTTAACTCACTGCACTCTCTGCGGTCAGATCAGAGGTCAGTCACGTCAATAAATTTTTTACACAAACTTATTTTTCGAAATTTCACCCAAGAAATATTATAGGTTCCTGGCGAAAGTTCATATTAAGATCTGATTTCACATTTATGACCACACTGAAATTCGTTGAGTGACAATGAATGTGAGTGTCTCGGACGAAGAGTGATCCTCAATTCAGTGATTTCGATAGGATCACCACTCAACGTGAGTTCCGCAAACTGAGGAGAAAGCTTATCCTCATTAAGATATCCCTTATTATCAGAACAACCAACCCTCACATATTACTTTTGATTTTCCTAGTTGTGTAAGAAATACTCACGTTCATGTTATCCGCAATCCATATACCTCCCAGCGTGCAATGCAGTTCACAGGCCAACTTCAACGTGTGACATTCAAGTTTTGAAGAGTGGAAGAAATGAGCAGAGTCTTTCAGTTGTAGATCGCACGTCTCGACCACATTGCAAAAACCATGACACATCAACCTAAAATGTGGGCTGGAGCGAAAAAAAGCAACGAAAATTGATCCCCATGTCTACTTTCTCTCGAACAAGTGGCAAAAATTGAGCCGTAGATGGCAATCACCGTACCCATGCGCTCCAATTGTAGCCGACTCTTCCACGAAAAGCTTGGCCGTAGCACCAATAGTGAGCTTTGCTTCGATCAGCATCCAGCAGGTACCGATCTGCCATGAGCCGTCAATAACGCACGTCGACCCGGAAACCATTTCCATCTAAATTTGCCTTTGTCGTTGCGTACGTGTAACAACCTGGACTTTCTTCGAAAATGATTCCGACCTTCTCCGTTTCGACGTATGAATGTGTTCCGAATTGCACGTCACCACATGCGTCCAGCACAAAATTCTCACCAACAGTCCAGATTCCTTCACACAGAAATCTGAAGAAGAAGAATTGATCAGTCTACAATTAGGTATGAACACATTCTGCGATCAGACTATTGAAATAGTCCATCTCGCAAATGAATTTGCGAGGTTCCTACTGCAGGGATTGAATTCGTTTTCACGACTCAAAAGGTCTGGGGAGGATAGTAAGGTATCAAAACTTACAACCATTAACGCCTCAAGCAAAAGCGCATGCCCCCTTGCAATTCCAGCAGTCTCGCTCTACGCTCTACTCTCCCGCCCCCGTCTGTCGCACCCTCACCTCAGTGCTCAGTATATCTCCAACTGTTCTCTCTCCCACTCCCCTATCTCCTTACGAGGAGGAGTACTGATTCCAGTGATTTGTTACTATTTTCTTCCACTGGTAAGTTAGCTTTCACCTACTGCTTCATATTTAGAAGGTGCTTCACCCCATTTGCAGCGTACTGGATCTTTGATGTGATCTTGCGCGTTTAATCCAAGAACCAGCCACTCACCATAACCGCAACTTTTTTGCGTCTTCATTATTATCAGACCAACTTCTAAATATACACTGGTGTGCAAATTTTAAAGGACGAATTCACGATAAGAACGAAGGTTGAAGAAGGGGTATGCTGGTTGGTTGTAGTTGGGATACAGGCGGACCTCCTGAGGGTGCTGACCAACGCGCAATTGGCAGCGAAAGATTTGACCTCGGCGCTCCAGCATAGCTCAATCTTGGCGCGGTTGGCCGGTGTACGCCCACCGACCATCTAATCACTCGCCGCAGGTCTATACGTGGCGAGTGATTAGATAGCAGAGAGAGCGTAGTGTTGGAAAGGGCACAAAGATGAGAGTCGCATCAATGCGCAAATCAAAAAGTGAAAGGAAGGGGTCCCATTTCTTGGGTTCTGGGCCATTTTCCTAAGTTTTTTCTTTCTTTCTTTGCATC